TAATTGTATATTTTGGAAGGAATAAATATATATATTAATAATTAAATCCCATTAATTTTATACTTTAGATATCATAGAAGATGCTGTTACATGAAAATGAAGCTGCAACAAGTAGCTCCGTATATTACATGCTCTGTGCCTTGGTATAAAGACTTCCAAACAAATTTACAAGCATGGACAAGCTATGAAATTTTACTTACAAAACATTTAGCTTCTGTAGAGGTAAGATAGATTTTAAGTAATTTTTGCTTCTTTTAATAATCTTACCTTTTAGAGTAATTCGAAATTATTAAAAATTGTGGACTATAATAAACTGGACAATTTACCTGATTATTGTAACTTTCCTATTTCTGAACCAAAAAGCATTTTAAACGATGCTTTTTTACATGTAATCCATTCATATAATTACCTTCATGAAAATAAAAGCCCATTTCTAAATTATCAGCCAAATCATGAACCGTAGGTACCACTTTAACTGACAATGAAATATAAGAACATTATTTATAGTTTTATATAATAAACTATTATATATGAAAGATTATAAAGTATATTTAATTATCCTAAGCTGAAATTCACAAATGAAGGGAATGAGAAGTTAATTCATTTTGTTTTTAGACCACATTATAACAATAATCAAATGTGTTATCAACAACCTGCTGATACTGAAACCGCTCCAGTTTATTATACGAATGCACAATTATCGAGGGTAAGTTTGACGACTTTTTCTTATATTTTTCGACTATTACTTTTCCGAATTTGAACTCATTTGTATACAATATAAAAAGAGCAACACTTGCGATTTTTATAAATGTATAAATAAAATTAATAAATAATACACATAATCTCCATTTTAGTTTCTTTTCTTTATGTAAATTATTTTCAATTAAGTTCACTTCCGTTATGTATTCTTGTGTGTTAATAGTCCAACATGCAAAATAGTTCTGCATGTCGTCCCAACGGTCAATATCAGCGAAGTCAAATTCCAATAAAAAATATCTCTGCCTCACAACAAACATTTAGCAACGGAAAAAAAATGGTTCAAAATGGTATGCATTTTATTTATTGAAACATCATAAGAGTAATTTCATTGTTAATGTTTTCTAGATAATTGTTTGTTAGAACAGAAAACCCTACCTATCAAGAACTTAGAAAATGTGAGCAACCCTGAAGAACCCATCAAGCCAAATCTAAGTCTAGATTGTGAACTTAATCCAAATGTTTCACAACTTTCGAACAAATCTTGTATGGATTTAGTAATTCCAGACCAAGAATTACCGTCGCCTCTTTCACCTAATATTTCCCAGTTAAAGAAAACTCAGTCTTCAAACTTACCTATAAATCACAAAATAATTAAAGAATCTTTATTGCCTTTGGATTTAATTCAGACAGATTGTTTGGAAACTGATAGAGCAACGCAAGGCACCAGTGAAGCTCATTTTGATGATTTAGATAATTTTTCTCCTGAAACTGATAGGAAAAAGGACAAAAATAAAGCAATGTTCTACGATGCTACCCTTGGTATCGAAGAACAAATTGAGAACTTATCTGCCAATGTAAAGGCTGTTGGAGGAATGAAGTTTTTGCATCTTTTCTTGTACCTTTGGCAAAATATTCCTTACGTGACCGAAGAAACTTTGTTACAAGCGCTACTTTCAGTGAAAAAAACCGTAGGAAAATTTACTGGAATGAAGAAGGAAAGTATTTTGATTTCTGTAAAAAGAATACTTGAACCAGACACGGAAAATTCAGGGTATGTCCTTGTAAACTATTACATAGTACAAGTATTTTTTAACGTTTTGTTTTATTAGTAGCATCCCAAATGTCCTCACAGAAGTATGCACAATTTGTTATGAAAATTTCAGTACTTCAAAAACTTTACGACTTAAATGTGGACATACTTTCCATTATTCGGTAAATATTTTTTCATTAATTATAATTTAAAGTGTTTAATAAAACAATTTCAGTGCGGTAATAAATGGCTGGTAAACAATAACGTTTGTCCGATCTGCCGATTTTGCATTTTATCTGAAGATGATGTTCAATGATGCATTTGTTTACGTTAACAGTATCCTGTGTTCTTTATGACAAGCTTCTGGAAATTTTAAGCTCTTACTATATCTTTTTTATTGTACGTACACGTAATGTTAAGTGAATTTATATTTTTCTATTTTCTCGAATTATTCAATTTCGGTTTCACTTTTATTAGTAAAAATAAAAGATTAAATGAAATATGGAATTATATTTTCACTACTTCCGCTTTATTTATTACCACCCTACTCTACAAAAAATACCCGGCAGTAAAATCATATTTATAATTACAAAGTTATGAATATTGAATGTTGCACTAATCAATAAACAATCGCTTTGGTACTGCCACGGTGAACAGAATTACGCGTCTACCAAACACGGAAAGCACTAGTAGTTCCTGATCTGCTGTAGCATTAAAGTTACTCTTCATAAATACTGATTTCGCAATTTTTTAATAAGAAAAGCCTTGTGGCTTATATTTTACTCATGTTATTTTTTATTTATTATTTCATTATACAAGAACATACATAAGTTTTATTAAAAACGAATCAAAAACTGTTTTTTTTTTCTTTCAAAAACCTCTGATTAAAATAATAATAACATATGAAATACTAAAAACATATTCATACTTTTTTATAACAAACGAATCAAAATTAACCCAAGTCTATCTTTCTAGTTATAACTGCGTCTACATATGTAAATTAAAATGTAAGGTGAAAAAACTATAATACCGTAAAATCCTAAATTTCATTTGGTTTTACTAATTAAAATTTTGGACTCTAAGGCAAAACCATTTTTTCGTCTAACATAGACAAATGAAAATTAAGGAATAACATTCAGAGTACATAAACCTAAACCATTTTCCTCACGACTCATTGTTTTCGTCACTAACGATTGATAGTACAGCTGGTATGACCAGATCTTCTCCATGGTGTCCCTTTCGATGTTTCTTCATGCTACTGGAATCGTAGAAGCCCTTACCGCAAACATCACATACGTACGGTCGTTCGCCTGTGTGAGTGCGTATGTGCACTGTTAAATTACCCTTTAAAGCAAATGTTTTGCCACAATATTGACATGCGTGAGGTCGTTCGCCAGTGTGCGTCAAAGAATGGTAGTTGAGATGGGTTGGCTGTACGAAACGCCGGAAACAGATTTTACATTGATGCGGTCTCTCCCCAGTATGAATAAGTATATGGCTGTTGTATGATGTTTTCAATCTGTTAAAAGTCAAGTTTAAATCACTTTAAAATGCAACCTAAAAATATAAGTAATCTGCCTTTCTCAAATAACTACTTATATCATTATTCCCAAAATATTAAACAAAAGATATTTTATTTTTGTAATTCTTTTCTACTCAAAATTAATTGAATCTGGTTAATTTGTACAATAGATACAAAAACTACGGCATCAGTAACAGTCCACTCAGGCTTCCGCAGCTACAATTTTTTGTTTTCTTCGAAAGATATATTTGATTTCAAACTTATGTAATTTTTTGTTAAATATATAACACAGAAGAAATTAATTAACCATAAAATAAATAGTTACATTTGGAAAGGTCCCATTTATTTGCACTAACCTGAACCCTTTTCCACACACTTGGCATATGAAATTTTTTTCACCACTGTGAACTTGCATGTGGAATTTCAAGTCAGTTTGAGTTGCAAAAGACTTTGAACATGAAGTGCACTTAAAAGGTCTTTTTTCATCTAAATGGTGTCTGCTGTAGTGAAGTTTTAGATTTCCTGTAAATAAAAAATTGGTTGAAGTGTCTGTTACTTAATCTTACACTGTATTCTTACCATATGAGCTAAAGGTCTTACGACATAATTCACAATGACTCTTTTCTTCACTATGCACTGCCTTCGTATGTGTTTGAAGACTTGTGTTTGTGGCAAACATCTTGCCACATGTTGGACATAAATAGTTTTTCTCTTTATGCATTTGTGCACGGTGAGATCTAAATTCATAACGTGAAGAAAATGTTATGTTACATATTTTACATATAGATTGTACAGTTTCTGAAGATTTTTTGACTGTATCTTTTTCCTGTTCATTATCCTGATGGTGCTGCTTAAGATGCTCTGTGAATACACTATTTTGAGCAAATCCTAAAATCAATACATCATTTTTATAAAAATGCTACTAGTTAATATAGAAACCACAAGCACAAATCAGTCCTCACATTATATCTCATATTTTTAGTATAAACAGGTATTATCAAATTCGTGAGTTTTAAATCCTTAAATTAATTGGTTTTCCAAAAAAAAAAACGTAAAAATAGAAAATAGCATTTCTATAGATTGGTTACATCAGGCCTTCTTAAACTATGGGTCGCGACCCCAAATGGGGTCGCCTAGCAAAATTCTGGGGTCGCGAGAGATTTTAATGTATATTATTACCTAATAAGTAAACCATTAAAAAATATTTATTTTCTTGGGGTCGTGAATGAAAAAAGTTTAAGAAGCCTTGGGTTACATCAATTTTTTTTTGTATCATATACCTATATAAATTAAACTATACCACCAAAAGGGCACTTTTATACATTAAAAATGATTTTAAATTTTTCGCAAAATTGTTAAGTCAATTAGGTACCTGAAATTTTCAGAATATTTGCATTTTGTTAGTAGTAAAAATATCAAAGGGATATACCTCAGTGACCAATTCATTATGGTTCTTAAACCTTGACAGTAATTTAATTATAGAAAAAAAATGTTTTTACCTTCTCCACAAACATCACAGAAGTACTGTTTGTCAGTAATATGTGTTTTGATATGGCGTTTCAGTAGGGCTATTTGAGGGAAATATTGCTCACATATTTTGCAACCATACCAAATACTTGTTTGTGTTTTTGTTTGAGTCATAAGCCTGAAACATTAAACAATTATTGCAAAATTATCATAAGTGATTTTTATAATTAAAATTCACTAACTCAGGTAACAATTTAATGTGAAAAGTATCGTTGTTATCATCTGACAATTCCAACTCATGCATATCATTTTCATATGTTTCCTGGTCTTGGTCTTCATTGCTTTCCACAATCACCTCATTGTCTTCAACATTCTCCATGTATACATAATCTTCTTGATTTTCTGCTTCAGTTACTTCAGTTTTTACTTCTTTTTCTTGTTCTTTTTCAAATGCCATTGTCCTTTTTATTTGTTCTATGTATGCCCCTTCAAAAGTTTGAACTTCTTTGCCATTAGGTTCACTTTTCATAAGTTTATTTATGGTATTGGCATTCGCAGACACCTTAGCTACTCTTGAATATGTGTGGTCATTGACATTGTTAGCAGATTTATTTTTTTTTTCTGGAATGTTTAAAACAATATCATTGCTATTTTCTTCAATCACATTGTTTGTTAGATTTTCATTTTCTTCTGAAGCATCTAGAGATGATTGAAGTAAATTGTCCATATCGTCAAATACCAAATAGTAGCCATCCCCTAACTTTTCTTCATTATCAGCAGTATCTTCAAGTGTTTCTTCAGGCATTTCATTAGTGTCATAGTCATACCCTTCCTCCTGCATGCTATAATCTTCATTCTCCTCTTTATAAATTATTTGTGCAGAACTTACATAAGATTTTAATAAGGCTTCATTTCGCTGTCCGAGCTCCTTTATTATAGATGCTGTTACTACATCTGCATAGCATTTTAAACAAATATTTAATGGGAGGTTATCATCTTCTTTAACCTGAAATGGGAACGTGTGTATTATTAGATTACTACACACATCAAATATTATATTTTGTAGAACAATAACGTAAAACTTTAAAATGTTTTAAGCCGTTGGCCACCTTTATATATTTCATTTTTTGTAGAATATAAGTTTGTTAAAATACTTAGTTTTATTAATAAACGTGTTTAATAGAAAATGAAAGAACAACTTAATTGATTCATATCCACATAGAATATGAAAATAACCTCTTGTATATACACTACTCAAATTCTATTAACATTCTTTTAGTTAAAGATTTTTTATGCAAGTAGAAGATTTATAACTGTTGAGTATCATATCATAAACAGTTCATCTATGGTAAAATATTTGTAGCTCATTAGTACAAAATAGAAGTTAGAAGTGATGGAATAAGGTATGCTTACCTCGGTGCAAATCGCAAATTCTAGTAACTCTTTCAATTTTTTCTTTTGAAAAGATAATGTAGAAATTGGATGCAGTGTTTCCTCTGATAAACAGATTCGGCAAATTTTAGAAAAGTCAATAGTTTCAGTTTTGGAATCACTGATTTCACTGCGTCTTGTGTATTCATCCTCAAGGCGTCGTTGAGTCAAACGAAAAAGGTCTGTTCGTAAACTACTCATTGTTACAACTTATTTATTATTAATATTTCATTGGTTATTTTTCAAAAGTAATATTCTATGGGCAATAATTTAACTTTTCTTAAATTTAAATTTTCTTTTCTATCGAAATTGCATCGTTTGACAAATGACAGTCACTATAAAATACAATAGGGCACGAAGAACAGGAATAGAAACAACGAAATACGTAGCAGATAGCAATAAACGTAAGCGACGCCAGCGCCATAATGGCCGTTTAAATTGGCAACGTTAGCAACTAAATGGAGTTGGTAGAAGGTGGGAGAATATAAGTTTGAAATTAAAATCATTGATCATAATCTTAAATTCCTTAATATATGTTGTTTTATCGTGATTTTTTGTATTTTTTATTTCGTAATTGTAATTTATTATTACCCCCATAGATTTTAATTTTTATTATTTAAATCCACATTGAGATTATTTAAAAGGTCGAAAATTAATATGTATAATGCTATCAAAAAAGTTGCTAAAAAACACCAAAACCATTAATCGTAAGTTAGAATGTATTAATTACTCATACCTGTTGTATGTTTCTACGTTTTTACTGGCATTTGATTTAAAAATCAAGTCGATATTGGATTAAAAAGTTCAAAACAATTGATTTGTTAATAATTCATCCAAAATTTTAAGTTTATCTTTCTATTTATTCAAATTTTATAATATGTATAGGGTTCCAAACGTTTGTAAGTTCTGCAACATTATCTCATTATTAAAAACTGGTAATTTAAGAGAAAAACTATTTAGATCAAGAACCACGCAAAACTTACCAAATAGTATATTTAACTATAAAAATTACAGTACATTTATATATTTAGAGCAACCACGTAAACATGAAAAGGAATTTACACAAGATGTGGAACTAATGAGCGACGTTGATGATAATTTTGTATCTATGTTAATGGAAGCTAATAAGCGAGTAACTCCGAATGGTGGTAGTGTGTATGAACTTAATTGTAGCAAATCAAAGAAACAAAAACGAATTTTATTTAATGTTATTAAAGCGTATACTAAAGAATATTACATAAAGCACGTTGTGGGAATTCCCGATGACTTGCAGCCATCATGCAGTCCCATTTCGGATGGTGGGGAAAAACATTTGGTTTGGACTTTCTTTAAGAGATAAAAAGTGAATATATTAGAAAATGCAACCTACTTAAATAAATTTAGTTTGGTTTGTTTGGTAATCTGTTGATTAATTAAAATGTAGAACGATTTAAGAATAGTTAAAAAAAATTTTTAAACTGCAAATATTCCCTCTTCATATGATACTGATTGTTGCGACACAACGGAAAACGAGTAATAAGAAGAATTAGTAGGACTTATGTTGTGGAGTTTGATGTATGAGAAGTTTTTTAACCACACTTATTTTATTAACCGCACTTTACACCTATTATGTCTGCATATATGATGTAGATATACTTAACAGTAAAAAGTCATTTGAAGTTTTTTGTAGTCTTTGTCAGACCTGATTAACATATTTTCAAATTATTCCATTATTATGTGTAGTTTAGGTAACGATGATGATACTGAAAATGCCAATTTTACATTAACACCTGCTTTAAATTTAAAGTGAGTAAAAAATAATCGATTAATTAATTGAAACTACATTAAATGAATAGAAAAAATGTATACAAAAATAACTTCTAGACTTTCTTAACGACAATTTTTTGCGGCGATATACATATAGCATTTAATCATTCATTATATTCTGATGATGTCACAGTGTCTTTTCATCTTCAACAATAAATTGTGGAAATTGTTTTTGTGTATGTATTTAGTTTAACTATTTCAGAAAATGGGATAAATGTAATAAATGCAAAAGTAATGTTCCTGTGATTATTCTCAGACACAAAGATGTTTATTGTAAGGAATGTTTTTTAAGTGGAGCAGCTCACAAGTTTAAAGCATTCATAGGCAAAAATCACTTGGTTAAAAAAAATGATTTTGTACTTGTTTGCTTTAGAAGTGGTCATTCGAGTGTTTCACTATTACACATGTTAAGGTCAGCGCTTGATTTACAAACACCAAAAAAATTAAAGCTCCGACCTATAGTTATTTATATAGCAAGTAATGTATTTCTAAATTCATTCAGGTTTATGGTGAAACCATATTAAGATGTTTTTATTTTTGTTTTAGAAGCTACATGTGAACCACAATTTTTAAAGGAAATTGAGGATGTGGTTTGCAGCTTCAATTTTCCATTGTACTTTATTTCATTTAATCAATATATAAGCAATGGGCAAGAATTAGATAAAGTACTATTTGCAAATTTTAGACAAATGTTGGAAAATTACCCACAAATTAACTCGTTCAAAAGAACCAATAATCCAACAGCTACACAAACATTGGAAAGAATATATGAGTAAGAATCTTTGAAATAAAAACAAAATAAGTGTTGGTAATACAGGTGCAATTTATTTTTCAGGCAACAGCTTTTAACTGAAGTAGCAAAACATTTAAATTGCAGTATAGTTTTCGTTCCTGATATTTCACTAAATGTTGCAACAAACTTACTTACAAGTATTTCATTAGGGAGGGGTGCTTATTTACCTCTTGATACAGTAAGCATTTTCTGACTCTTGGTATAAATATAATACATTTATTTATAGGGTATTTGTGACACTAGAGATCCCCAGATAACTATTGTAAGACCCCTAAGGCATTTTGATGATAAAGAGCTAGCCTTTTATAATGTATATAACAAATTAAAACTTGTTGTATCTCCCAATGAAATAAAGAAGTTCAATAACACAAGTGTGCAAGACTTAATAGATACATTTGTGAGTAATTTGCAATTGAATTATCCTGCCACTATTACTACGGTTGTTAGAACTGGTGATAAGCTTGCATTGGATAAAACAGTTTTAAAAAGCAAAGCATGCAATTTATGTAAGGTATGTTTCACTTATACAGCATAACTTTCTAGAGCGACAGTATAGAAACAAGGACAAGATTTGAATAGATTTATTAAACAAAATTTAACTTACCAACAAGAGCCATTTTACTATCTATTCTAGCAATGTCTCAATAACTTTTAAGAGAAAAAGAAAGGTTCTTATTTTTTTATTTTAATTTTAATTTAGGCCCAAAATTATCATGGCAATATGTTACTGCTGGGAATGACTATATTCTTACAAAACTAATTTGTATACTAGTGTTCTACTAGTTTTAATTTTGTCTTCAAATAACAGAATATAGAGAATGTCCCATTATAATAAAATAGAACAGAATAACGGATGTATAAATTAATCTGTAGATCAGTGAATACTATTATAAGTAATAGTTATTAAATAGGAATTTAAAATTTTAGGCTCCATTACTTAATAATACTTCAGAAGAATTAAATTCTGCCACTGCAACTGATTTTTCACGTTGGATATCAGCACAACTTCAAATTTTTAAAAAAGACGAAAGTTTCAACGAATTTGAAATCAAGCAGCGTGAATTATATTGCTATGCCTGCAGTAAAATTATTGAATTTGTAGAAAAATAACTAATAATTAAAATACTATGGTACTTATTTTCCTTTGCAGTTTGATCAACCTACTCTCTTTTTTCTCTTCCAATCCTTTACATGCATAATATATATATTGTATTTTATATAATTTTTCTTTATNCATGAATTAGCAATGTAGAATTAATTAAAATCACAATTATAATCAGTTTTAATAAGTAATTTTACAAATTCAATAAGCAAAAATAAATAAAAGCATTTTCTTTTAGCTGCTTTACATTAATTTTATTAATAATTATGGGATTAAATTAAGTCTTGGAATGTGAATGTATGATAAATGAGATCATATTTAATCATTTAGAGGGACTTATCGTTTTTCTGGAGTTTTGAGTGGTTAATTCATTGGTTACATTCTCCCACGTAGATACGGTCTTTTCATAGTATTCTATTTGCTTATTTGCAAAATCAAGTAGAATTTTTTTTAAACAGTGTTGTTTCTCAATATTCCATTTCTGTAGATCACTTTTTAAAGATTCGTTCGCGCATTCTAAGACGTCTTGATGAGATTCTACCTTTTTTACAAGTTGAGGAATGTGGGCACCTAAATAAGATGAAAATTTTTATCTTACAGTTGCATATTAGGGATATTTACCAAGTTTTTCTAATTTCTCATCAGAAGTAGGTTGTTTCCAAACAGAAAAAGCTCCGGCTTTTTGACTGTAGTGATTGGCTAATAACTGCAAATTAACGAGTTTTTATTTTATATCAAGTAATGTTTTAATTTGTACCTGATCTTTTTCCGTTCGTTTTTTAATAAGTTCTTGAAAACTTTCCTCATAATTTTGTTGACAAATTTCTCTCCTCTGCAGTGCTTCCTTAACTACATCAATGTATAATAAAAATTCTTTAATAGGATCAGCCATTGACTTTCCATAATTGGAAATCATGCTTCCTAGAGCCCAAGCATTTTTTTCTGTTGCAGTAGATATGTTTTGTAAAAGGCCAACTATCTGTGGCTCGATTGTTGCCCAAGCAGCAAATGCAGGATACAATTCATTCAATTTAGTGACATAATCATGTCGTTCCTTGTTAATTCGACTCGAAATCTTTTCTACTGCCATAAGTTTGTCAGATAGTACGTCTAGATAGTCTTTAGTTTTTTCAAACTCCAACTGTTGATTTCTAATAACTAAATGTGAAGGTTCTCTGCTGGGATTGCTATTGTTAAAGGGGTATAATTTTACTGTAGGATTGCTTTTTGGGGAATTATGTTTACGATGAGTAGAAAAATCCTTAGAAAATTAAAAATTAGTACCTATTTACAATCTGTTTTATACAAAGAAAAATGTGTTATAATTTTGTTCTGCACTTTTTACATACCATTTGATTTGCAGTAATAAACATTTTATAATGTTCATTGGAATTTAAGATTTCATGACCAGTAACTCTAGACATAAATATATGTAATAATTTTGTTCGACTCAATATGAATTCTTTTGAGTATCTATCCAACTGTCCAATTAAAGAGTGCTTTCCAGGAAGAGGCTAAAGAATAAGCTGTACTGTAATGTATTGTATAAAAACTTGTTTAAGAACTCACTGGTATTATGCAAAATGGATGACATTCAACCAATTTTTGTCTTAACCACGCAAAGTCACTATATCTTCTTCTAACGACGTACTCATTTTCTAAAAAGTCGCTTCTTGTAGCTTTGGTTGTAATACGGAAAGTTATATATGTCTCTAATGTATCGAGGTACTTCTGAGGATTATCAACTTTTACGCACAAATCCACGTCGTCACTATTTAAATCAGAAATTATTTCAGAATCGGGAATTGTTGAAAAGCTCTCCAAACTGGGAGACTGTACCTAAATAAATATTGTCTTTAATACAAACCAAACACCTCTACATAAAACTTTTTACCATTGAATTATCAAAAGTGTAATTACTGTTACTCAGACTTGATCTCCGCTCATGTTCCTTCACTATCGAATTAATATCTTTGTTTTCTGACACAACATTTAAAATCGCTGAACAACTTTGAATATTATCTTCCATTTTATCCTGTTCTACTTTTTAGGTTATCTTTTGTTTAGTTACCATTTAGAAAGTGTAAAAAGTACCATTGAATTTAATAACATTTATTAATTTTCTATATTCCTGTTTAGAAATTGTTATGTAATAATAACATTAATGATATTTGGATTTAGTTTACGTATTTGTAATAACTTTCAAAGTTTTGTTTAATTAGTTTGAGTTTAAAGTAAAAATGATAGCATATGCAGGGTACTCATTAGTAATTTAAAATTCATGAATTGAGATTATAAGAAGTAAATATCCTGAATAAATACAAACTTTACTTGCTTTTACACAAAAATATGCAATTTGTTAGAAATACGTTATTGTAAAAGAAAGTCTAACATATCCAACTCCATATATACAGGGTGTTCAAATTGACACAACTGTCGATTATGGATACTAATTCAGTCAATATAAGAAATACTATACGAAACACTAGTTTTTTTAAGATTGAACACTACATTCCCTCATCATCAATATAATTTTTCATCATTCAAACAACCATAATCAATTATAAAAAATAAAAGAAATATTAAGATTAAGATAATTTATTTGATCACATAATAGTTTTTAAGTTCTTTTTGATAACTTAATTCTATACAAAGTCGCAACAAGGACAGAAATACCCTATTATCACACACCCTTACAAAGGGTCGAAAATAAATTCGTAGTCGTACTGTACGTAAATAAATAATTCCTTTCATAATATCATAAAACAATTTAAAACATTCAGCCATGGAAATTAAAACCGACATTCACCATTAAGAAAAATTAAAAGATTAAAAAGCCAAGAGTTACTCAACGTAAAAACTTAATACAATTAAATTCAATTTCTTACAATAATTTTACATGTTTTTTTATACATTATTTGATCTGTTTTGCATACATACAGCATTAAATACATTTTTAAATAATTTAATCGTGTTTGGGGTCTATCTCTAAAGACAGATTAACGCCAATGCAGATGCTTTTACTACTGGAATGCATTTTTTTACGGCAAAGAGTTAATACTTGTAATGTATATTCAGTTTAACTAGCAAACATGTTTTGCTGTGATGCATCATTTTCGAAGTCGGTCCATGCGTTATTAAGTTCCATAAAAACTAATTTTGCAATATTCTCGTTTTCTGTTCCAGCTTGCTGCATACATAGATTGATTCACAGATTTTTTGAAAACAAAACAGAAGTACATAAATTTTGATAAAATGCAACTATATATTCTAATTACCTTGTCAGGATGTACCGCCAAGCATGCCTTACGGTAGGCCTTTTTAACATCTGCCGCAGTCACAAGTTGGTGCATTTCACATTTGTGCCATTTTGCGCCATCCCATAGAACGGTGTGGACTGAGCAAAGTAGAGCACGAATGTTACCCTTCTTCCCTTCAACCTACGAACAAAAAAATACTTAAAAATATTCCCTTTTGTTGGCATATTTACAATAAATATACAGATTATTTTACAAATTCTACATCAGAAACGAAATAAAACGTACCCACTCCAAAATTTTTAATTTCTCAGGATCCATATCTTTTGCTAATTCTTCTTTTCTCATTTCATTAATAGTTCTAGGGGAATTGTCCTTTTTACTTGTGAACTGAAACCCTTGCGAACCTAACAAATCTTCGAAAACATCTGCCGATTTCACTTTTGAATTGGCCGCCACAGGTGGTTCCTTTTTACCAAAAGCATTATCAAAGTGAGCTCTATTATAATCAGGTCGTAAATCAGCAGGCGATTTAGCTTGATGTTGAGGAGTTAGATTTGGTGATACTTTTGGGGAATTACCCATATCAGTTGATGTAGAACCCATATTCATAAACATAGACGAACCGTGTTGGGGAGAAGTGGAAGGCATATGCTGTGGAGTAGTAGGAGGAGCACGAAACGGTGAATGAGACCCATTTGTTGATGTTTGTTGTTGGGTAGCCCATTGACTATTCAAAGTTCCCAAATTTGCTGTAAAAATTCATCAGTAAATTAAATCAATATTCAATAATACATATGATAAATTGGCGATGATTACCAAAATCAGCAAATAAGTCCTTGGGTTTTGGCTGCGTTTCGGAAGTTTGTGAAGTATTTATAGGTGGGGTGAAAGTTGGCTGGACGTTAGTAGTACCACTCCAATTGCCCAAAAGAGTCGGTTCATTACCTACCCCTTCCAAATTCCCAAACGGATCGAAAAAATCAGTAACACTTTTTTTATCGTTTGCATCATCATTAGAAGGGGCGGCGTAAGTTTGAAAAGAGTCACTATTACTTGCTAAATCACTTAGAAGATCGAAATTAGTGCTTGCTGATGTAGAAGTTGCTGTATTTGTTGCAGTGACATCGACATTTAAGTTAAGAAAATCAACAGCCTCTTCCAAAGTCTGGGAAGGTTTAGGCTCTTTTGAAGATAACTAAAAATTAGATAGTCAATAACTACAAAAAAAGAAAAATACTTCTCTTACAACAGGTTCAAAATATGAATCGCTTGTTTCTTTAACTTCTTCTTGAACAACGTGGGCAGGCTTTGGTGACGGAGGCGCTGGTCTTTGCGGTTTTGGAGCAGGTTTTGAAGGCCTTGTTTGCTTACTTACTGTATATATTGTATGTTAAAATCAAAATTCGATTCCAAATTTTAGAAGATATCTACTTAGGTCATGAACTAAAAGAGGGGGGGGGAGTCAAGAGTTGTGACTTAGGAAAAGGTATAATGAACAAAGAGAGGATAGAAGAAATTTAAAATGTTTAATTACAATTACATTTCTTACCGAAATTATCAACAATTTCGTCTTTTTCTAGCTGCGAACTAAAAAGAACATCGGGAGAACGAGTGGTGTTATCTTTTATCCAAGGTGGTGGTTGACTTGGTTTTCTTTCTGTATCTGATACAAATACGTTCAAAATGATTGTGAATCCATCTTGATAATGATCGTTTCCCTCAGCTAAACTATCTAATTCATTCCTAAAATGGTGGTTTTGTTTGCTTATATTTTATTTTTCTTTTAATACCAAAATATACTTTGGAAAACGAATGCAGGTCTCCTCTTCAGAAATGAACCCTGTATGGAATTGAATTTTACATATTTTTATACCCGTAGCTTTACCCTGACTCATGACTCCCCCTAATACGTTCCTTGCGTGATAGACGGCAATGCAGACATCTCCGCATACGTTAGCACTTAACGGTATTAGACACTTTAAACAGATAATGATTGTTAAAAATACGATTCCCTTCTACTACACTTTACAATTAATTTTCTTATTTACCTTTCCTTCAGTATAATTATAGAGACGCATTCTTTCATATTCTTCTAATGTAGATAAAATACATCTATTTTCACTATATATTTCTACATACGGTCGGCAACCATCCCTAAAAATGTTTTCAAAATCGCCTTGTGTTTCAATACGCCATTTTTTTAATCACTATTGCGATATTTATAATCATAAAATTTTTGAGAAAAACAATTTTAAACCTTTAAAAATAAAATACATACCTAGAAAATTTCAAAACAAAATGTACAACTCGAAAACATCGCAATAATTGAATTTATAAGTAAATGTATAATCGTTTATTCCTACCTCACTTTAGTAAAAAGGGGAATTGGTTGCATAACTAGAGAAACTATTGTAATCGGTTTAGAATGAGGGTAAAGTGGAGGATTTTTTATAATGTCCGATAAATAGTACAAATATCGAAGTTGAGAAGGACCCATATTAGGGGGCGTTCGCTTGACGGCGAAAAGTTGAAGAGAATCTTCTGGTATTTCGAATAGGCCAGCATACAACAAAAGAGCGCATACGACTGTTGCCGAAGTCGCTTTGCCATCCTTGAAAAAAAAAAAACAAAACGTACAAACTTTCGTTAGATTTAAAAATTAAAGGAAATGTATTAAGGAAGTAATTTGTATTTATGTACCATGCAATGAACTACTACAACATTTCTGCTGTCGCCTTCCATGTACTGGTAAATATCTTCTACGATTTGGTATAATGAGTTAAGTAAAGGAGCCTTGTAATGTTCAGGGTATGCAAAACTGCAATCAACAATCCTTGCCTGACCAAATTTTGATTGATAAGTACGCCTGGACAAATTGTACACTGAATACTTAAAGTTTGGATGTCTCGAGTCCAAGAATAACTTTACATCTTCAATATGATTTGTTCTATAGGTGGATTCAATTCCTTCAGATGGAAAGGGCATTACTAATATTTTAGAAGTAACATAAGAAATATCCAGATCTGTTCGTGCTATTGATCTGAAAATTACGTCTGCTTAATTAATTTTGTAATATATTTATTGTTAATTTACTGTTGCATAGTTTGCATCACTTTAGAGCTGGTGTCCTTTAAATTTTTCAGGAAACTTCCCGCACCTCCTCTTATGGAAGAAAACAAACCCGATGAAGGTGAAGAATAAGATTTTGAAGGTTCACTTTGATATTGTTGTTGATGTTGTTTTTGTTGAGGAGGTGGTTGTCTATGAGGAGACTGATGAAGGGACCTCTGAGGTACCTTTAAGAAATATATTACATGTTACTTTTTTGGAGCTAAATGAAACTTACTGCTTGTGGTGGGCGTGGAGGTTGATTTGTTTGATGAGCTGGGGAGGGAGGTGCTGGTCTTGCAGGGGGAACATTTCTTTCTGTATTATTAACATTATTCTGAATGTTTTGCTTTATTTTTATATTAATTGGTGCTTTTAAGTTGTAGTTTTTTGTCTCAGCAACAGCTGCAATTTGTTCTAAGACACCCAGAATGGTGAGCCTCTGTTTTGGATCAACTTGTAAACATCCCTCTAAAATAAAATTATATTTTTCCTTATAATGCAATAACACTATTCTTATGTAATTATGTTCAATTGTAAAAGGTGTATATATATAAACATACATAAAACTGAAATGCTTTACAATAGCAATAGCAATATTGAATCTATGCTGAACATTTCCTTATTTAAAAAACCTTACTTATAATGTTGTGAAAGCAAGTGTATCGTGAATCAGGTGGTATGGTGTAATTTCCATTAATAATTCTTAGTTTTGCTCCATCCTCAAATGGATGCTTCATATAACATAATGTGTACAATATACATCCCAAAGCCCAAACATCAACTGGAGGGCCAACAAAATAATTACTCCAGGTATCTACCATTTCTGGTGCTCTATACATGGGAGTTGTAAAACTGGCCATCTAGAATTTATTAGTACAATTGAAAATACAATACATACAAAAATACACAACAAACATGCTGCATTGTCACCTTCAGAGAGCATCACAGATAATTATAAAATAAACATAATACAGTAATAAAAATATCTCAATATTAAGAAATGTGAATATGAATACGAATATGAAAACAAATATTTTTAAAATTTAATATTTCCTTACACTTTCTTCCAGAGATGACCTTTGATTAGTGGACCATGACATATCTGGACTGAATGTTTCAATAGTAGCAGATCCAAAGTCACATAATTTGATATTACCATCTTCTGATAACAACAAATTTTCAATCTTGAGATCTCTGTGTGTCACAGGAGGAGATTGTGAATGCATATGAGAAACAGCACGACAAGTCTGGTAGAATATTTGACACACCTTTTCTGCATCAAAAGGTTCATTTTTTATCTTTAAAATTTCAACTAAAGAACCACCTTGGAAATAACTTTAAATTAATAGGTAAAATTTCATTAATAACTTATACTACCTGAACAAAGCTCTGTTACTAGTAAAAATTCTGACTGACCATGCTCAGTCTGGTTCTTATCCAAAAAAGAAGCAGACATGTATTGAATAATGTTTGGATGTCCAGACAGCTTTTTTAAAATGTTTATTTCTTGTACGATATTGCGTTTAGCTTGTTCATCTGCAGCAAGTAATCGCTAAAAGTATTATTACTATAGGATTAGACTTTTCTAAATGGCACATAAATAAATTCACCTTCAAAGCATAGTTTCTCCCTGAAGAAATATCCTGGGCAACAAAAACCACAGCAAATCCTCCTGTAATTATAATAGTAAGAAAAAACAAACCGAAAATCAATATGTTTTATGGTTAGTTTACCTTCTGCAATAACCTTTGTAATTTTTAATTTTACATTGGAAATTTCCACTGATTGACCTACGAAACTGTTTTCACTTTCTCCGTTAGTTCCAGCATTAAAATAATCAAAGGCAGATTTAAGAAATTCGCTCATTTTATTGCTATTTTTTTAATGATCAACGACAATTCTACTTGCTACACAGCATATCAGTTACATACATTGCATATATGTTACATGTTACCAAGGATAATACATATCCAGTGAGCAGTGGGGTGTTTGAGTTTGACATTTTGATTTTGACATGAATGTACTTTTGATAGTGGATTCCGTTTTTCATTTGGTGATTTTAAGTCCGTCAAATTGCCTGTTATTTGAAATTCAAAAACTTGATGTAATTAGTACAATACAAATGGAATTTGTAATTTCTCTATACTCATTTAAAGTTTTTATTTTTCTTTTTAAAGTCAAGGAGGGAATTAACATTCGGTTTTTACATGCGTGCTTCACGATTAGATATGCTTGAAAGAAAATGTGGGAATACTAAAAGTGATATTAGTTCCTTTTAAGCTTTTAGGTGCTTTTAGTAACATTTTTCCTTCCAGATTGTCACCAAGAAGTAGGAACTGCAATCAATTTTGACAAGTAATAATTTCAGCTGTTTTATGTTAAACAAAAATATTGCAAAATATTTATATCTTATAGTTGGAGATAATTAATTCAGTTACCGGTTGAAAGTCTTTAACAATGAAATAGAACCGATAATGTCAACGAATATTGATATCAAGCCTATTTTACCTAACAAGGGTCAAATTATAATTGAAGACATTGAAGATTTTCGCCTATGCAAGCCTCGTTTGGTACCTCTGAAAACATTTACACTTCAAAAATTAGAAAGTATGCAGAAGGAAGCAAGAGAAATTCAGAATAGCAATAAAAACCAGAGTTAAATGACTTACCAAAAATGAGTTATACACCTATTATTTTTAATATTGTTTTGTCATTTGTATTGTCTTCAACAACTTTGTATCGGTATGGAAATTGGTTTAGGCATCATGTAATTGTTACACTTGCTGTGTTGTTAGCTTGGTACTTCAGTTTCTTAATTATTTTTATATTGCCTCTTGATGTTATATCGGTAAGGTATTTCAAAATTGATTTAAAGATAGTATTGTATCTATATTTGTTGTAGACTGTATTTAGGCAATGTTTAGAAGAAAATGTAAGTTTTGAATTGAATTCAAGTGTGAATGCATCTACAATATGTGAAGAACCTTGGAGTCATGTTCCAGAGAAAGTATTTCCTAATTTATGGCGAACTGTCTATTGGTCCTCTCAGTTTTTAACTTGGTTAATAGTTTGTTCATATTTATAAATTAATATTGCAGTTTACTTTTAGATATTTTTGTTTACATCTAGTGGGGTATATTTTTTAGGCTTATTATGCCCATGATGCAGTCATACAGTAAAGCTGGTGATTTTACTATCAAAGGAAAATTAAAATCTGCTTTGATTGACAATGCTATTTATTATGGATCTTATTTATTTATTTGTGGTATACTTTTGATTTATTTGGCTCTTAAACCAGGTATCAACCTTGATTGGTAAGTATAAACTTCATCATACAACATTAAACATACCTTTTAATTTCCAAATATTCAAAATGTACTGTCTCTATATTAATTTATTATTTAAAGACTACTTTGTTATTTTTCTTTATATTTTTTAGGCAAAAATTAAAAGCAATTGCTTCTTCAGCAAGTAACACTTGGGGTCTATTTTTGTTAGTACTATTACTGGGTTATGCCTTTGTTGAGGTACCCAGAAGCTTGTGGAATAATGGTAATCTTATTTATGTTTTAAATCACTCCTATTTTAAAGTTGCAAAACTGTCTTCTGATAAATGTGAAGCTGAGGAAACTGTAGATGACGTTTTAGAGGTAAATTATTTAAATGAAAGTTGCAATGTTTACATTTCAAGATTTATTTTAGTCTTTACAAGCCATAACTATAGCAGTGAAACCTGGCCATACATTATATCAACATGTTGAAACAATAATGCAGAAAGTACCTGTTGAGTTGAAAGAAAAAATGAATCGCAGAGAATTACCTGATGATACACCTGTAGATGCACCTTCAGAAAAGTCTCTTATAAGGTTACACAAACAAGTGCGTTTTATAAAATATTTATTTAATTTATTTTTCACAAGTTTAAAAAGATGCTAACAGTATTAACTAAGCAACTAATTTTATAATTAACTTAAGTTTTAAGTTATGGATCATATTTTTATTATTTATTGCACTATATTTAAATTTTAGGTTTTGTAAAATATTTACATTTATTTTTCACATATATTATGATTCAGCAACTAATTATTTAATTATGTTTTAATTGGAACCTAAATTCGTTTAAATTAAAATTTCTTATTTAGGTAATTAAATCTCTCCAGATATTGCAGAGGACGGAAACACGTTGGAGTATCTTAGTGGAAAAAGTTTTTGAACTTGAAGATATTGCAAAGAACCTTACATCTAGAGAAAGACGATTTAAGCGCATGTTTCCAAAAAAGAAAAATCCTATGACCAGGTTTTTTTATGGATCTAAATTAGGTAGCCATTTTGGGTATCTTTATTTAATTGTCTTAAAAAAAATGTTACAGAGGGAATCTAATCCCTCTATTCAACCTATTGTAATTAAGAAATAAAATTTCCTTAATTTTTTAGAATGGTATTGGAAATGTATTTTGCAAAATTACACCACAAGAGTTTTAGCCTTGTTAGCAGCGACTTTATCTGTGGCTATTGTTTGGTCTGAAGTTACATTTTTTAATAAGCAACCAGTTCTGTCTATTTTTGCTGTAATTGTAAATGTGGCCAAAAAAAATTATGATTATTTTACCATCGAGGTAACATTTTAAATGTTCTTTTAGATTGTAGGTAGATATATTTTTTTTTGCTATAGGTACTTTCAAGAGTAGTTATTCTGTATTTTTGTTATTGTGCCTATTCCACAGTTTTAAAGATAAGATTGTTAAATTTATATTACTTGGCTCCTTATCATCAAACAAACGAATACAGTTTAATATTTTCTGGTATGATGTTATGTCGTTTGACTCCGCCCTTATGTTTGAATTTTCTCGGTTTAATTCATATGGATAGTCACATTATTAAAAAACAAGTATTAGAAACACACTACACTCAGGTAATTATTGAGATCCATCTCAAGTGGTACTTTCTTAATATTTTTGGATTTATAGGTCATGGGTCATATGGACGTAATAGGTATAATATCGGATGGGTTCAACGTTTATTTTCCCATGGCTATATTGGCTTTTTGTTTATCCACTTATATTAGTATAGGATCAAGAGTCCTATCTTTGTGTGGTTTCCATCAGTTTGTTGGTGACGACGAAATAACTTCCGATTTAGTAGACGAGGGGCGAGAAATTATGAAAAGAGGTATATATTTTATAGAAACTCTAGAAAGAAGCAGAAGATAGCGCTGGTCATGAAAAAACAGTGTTGAATGCTAAAGCTAGTGGTAGGGTTTTAGTATTTATTGTTTTTTTTTCAGAAAACCATAACGCATGCTTTTTTAAAATTTGGAGGTGTAGTTACGATTGAAATTTCGTTTTTTTTTTAACATAGGGTTGGATTTTTATACTCTTCTCTGATTTTGGTTATTAAAATATATTTTTTTTTTAATTTCAGAGAAACGTAAACGCCAAAGGGCACAAGAATCTTTTGTACGTAGAAGAGAAATGCAAGATAGATTTCATAATCTGAGTCGATACAGGGGTCAAAATGCAAATGAAATGGGTAAGTATTTCTAGCTACTTCATTAAATATATCTAGTAGTTATTTCAACTTAAATAGAGAGGGAAATGCAAGAAACAAGATCATCCACTTCTAATCTGATGCGAGACGCTGTTGCCTTGGAGTCTTATGATGGAACGAAATTCAACACGGATGAAATAGACACGAGTTTTCTACCAGAAAATGACATAGACTCAAGATTTGGTATAAGTACCCACAGGAATTTGGCAGATGCAGGTAATAGAAGGGTAGGACCACCACCTAGAGGTATTTTTGATGATGTTTAATTCATCCAAACAGAGAAGTATACAATGTCTGCCATTTTTTATTTTTATTTTTTAACTGGTTGTGACTTATTTTTAAATTTTTATTGCCATCATGCGATTTATTTAAATAATTAAAACGTAAGTTCATTTGGAGATTAAGTTCATTATTTCGAGATTATTTCATCATTATTTTAAGGTCAAGAGGGTTGGTTTAGTAAGCTTTTATTTACCAATAACTAGTTAACTGGAGGTGCAATTTAAATTTATTTTATTTTTTAATAGTAATAAGCTTGGTATTGTAGAGAAATTACTGTTATATATGAATACCGAAAAATTACTAATATGTTTTTTCAGTTGCAGTGTTCTTTTTATTTAAAAAATAATTATTTCTTATACAACTTTTAACATAAAAAATATGTTTTAAAAGAATTGAATTTGTGACGTAAACTGAAGAGGTGATTTGATATTTTTATTGCACATATATACTTTTAAAAGTACGTAACATGGAAACTATATTAATCAATAAGAAATAACATTAAGATAATGTATCCATAACAATGTAAGTGTGTGTTATCAAAATTTTGTACTCATTTTTTTAAAGACCACAAATACTACATTGAAGCACTTTTATGTTAATATTCGTTTCCCTTATCGTAAGTTTTAGTTGTAATACAATTGTCATTATTGTTACTAGTCATCATTTTGCGTTAACTTTTATTCTTGTATGTTCTCAAAATATAGTAAACATTGCCTTTTATAGTTTATATGTTACAATGCAATTCGATTTATGATTAGCAAACGAAAATTGACTTATCTAAAATCAATAACTGCGTTAAATATGTAGTTTCGTGATTAAACTGCTTTTATTTCCTTGGTAATTAATTAGAAACGTTTGTAAAATGTTCTGCTACAAGAAGTCTAGTCTTAATCTGATAACATTCCACAATTAGTATTTAATACACCGCTATTAATTGTTATCTTAATTGCGATAAAATAAATTATTTTGCCGTTTATCGAAAGTTTCTCTTTAAGGTAAATTAAAATGCTCAAAGAAAAGCTTCAAAGTAACAAATGAATTTTAATAATAAATTAACGATGACATGTATGTACACAGAAATATTACACTATTTACAAAAAAGTGAAAGCTCGACAATAAAAGTAATTAACCAAAATACAAAAGGCACAATTTTAAAACAAATAAAATATTTATAACAGTCAAATATTGTATTTCCTTACAGGAATATTAAAAAGGAAAACATAATTTGAATATCCAGTTCTTATATTAGCACCTATTTAATCATTTTAAAAAGTACCTACTTGGAACCACTCACTAACATTTACTAAATATATATTACAATTATAATAAAAATTGATTCATTTAAACAAAAATAAACTCACTTCTACAGTAAAACAAATACTAACTTTTATAAAAAATTTTTTCCTAATAGTAATTTTAGTTTCCAATTAGTATCAAATCAAAAAACTATTTTTACTAAATAAAATATTGGTCCTTTTAATGTTCTTATATTTATAAAAGGTGCTGAATACAATAAGGAATTCGTTTACGTTTTATTTCTAATAAAATAATTTAAATAAATAACTACTATACTAAACAGAATACTTTAAGAAGTCCGTAGTAAAATATTTTTGACAAACAAAAGAATATTAATTTTATTGTATATGTAATTTGTTTTTGAAAAAATAGCTATCAAAAATCTACTACAATTTTGCTTCCTTTTTTTATTGTTTATTGAATTCAGGAATTTTCTTTCAGCTCTAATTTACACAATTTTTTTAATTCAAAAAAGATATACTTATTTTAAAGGATCTGTATTAAATAACGTATGACAGATGGATGACCTTTTAGTCAATAATGTTATGAAATGTGGTATAAACTGTATATTTTTCTTACAAACGTTTATTGTAGAATAATAAATTATCAAGTCTTAAAAAACAGTATTGTTCCTTCTCTAATGATAACGTCATTTATAAATCCGTTTGTAAAAGTGGTTTTAAAATTTTCATAAAAACTAATTTTAAAATATTCAAAAACTCAAATGCATATATATTAAAAAGGTAACAAGTATGATGCATTTTTAAAAGTATTACCAAACTTTCTAAACATAAATAATAACTGATATGAAAATTTATAGCCCAAAAGATTTCTTTTGTAAAAAAAAAACTGCCTTAGATGATACGTTTTAGGAAGTAGGTTTTTCGTTCATAAGTCGTTAATAAATAGTTAATTATGAGGTGCCCTTTTACCACTCATATATTCTATCCACCTCTGGGCAGTGTCGCTGAACACGCCATCATTGTCAATCGTACTTAATAACAGTAACTGGTTAACATGCGTTGCATGGTAATCCCACCGAGCTAAATTCGGTGCGATTTTAAGCGTGACATGCCTTAGGTCATATGTTGTGCCGCTACCAGTATCATATATCATGAGCATACGTTTTAATGAACTTAAGCCCTCGCGATACAAGATTTCAGCTGTTTTAGCTTCGGCAGGTGCGATTGTCATTAGATCGTAGAGCCCTAATAAGGAATAAATAAAACCGTTGAGCACGAAAGACGGCGGTGTTGTAGGATATTCTTCGTACCATGAATGGACATCCATAAATTTGGCTAAGACACCACCTTGAAAAACCAATAAAATAAACTAATGAGCTAATAGTATGTATAATATTACAAAAATTAAACTGCTTAGGATTAATATGTCTTATTATACAAATATATTCAGAAGTAAAAACTATAAAATACGTACCAGTTAAGAAACAAATGTGACCATATCAAAACTTATTTATAATTAATGCTTTTTATTTACAAAAATAATTCAAAAAAGTTCAGTTTTGATAAGGGGTGATAAAATGTTATTTTTTTACATACCTTGAGAGCTTAAGACTTTGAATGGTTTCAAACCCAAAAGGGCAGAATTCAGGTATTCTTTATTACCTCCTGAATGATAATAAGCCCTAGCAAGAACTGACAAAGCGTGTCCTTGGCCCATTGCTGAGTACCACCCAGGTTCTAAATCTTCGAATCCTGCAGCTATCCTTCGCCTGACAGGATTGGGCCATCCACCTCTCTCTTTGTCTTGATGACGCACGAACCAATTAGCTGCATCATAAAAATGATTGATATGTTCTGACGAAGATATGGTCAAATTATCTAATGTTCCCTGTCCTCGTAGGATTATCTTTGATATTTTAACTTTAGAACGGGAAACTCTATAGTGCGATTTATCATAACCCAAAAAGCTGAGACCTTTCTGCAGGTCCACAAATAAATCTCGGGTCAACCTACGCCAAACGGGAGCACTACCCACACCGTGGTAGATATTATTGTCCTGCAAATCAATTGAACAAAATTTTGAATCAGTTTTATGACTGTAGGTAATAGTTTTTCTGATACGCTTCTATAATAGATCAATTTTCTTATTTCAAATATTTTATCAATGTTATCAACCAAATTATATTTATATTTTTCAGTGGTTCAGATAAGTTTGGATGATCTGATCAGTATTATTAAAGTTCCCTTATTCATAAAATATTAATCTAAAAGTTGCACTGGTTTGTAAGTAAAAAAAGAAAGTTTCATTTGTGTTATCATTTTTAATCACAAATGATTGAATAAATATTAATATAAAAATTAACTGGGGCATACAAAAAAAATACTGTAGGAGAGTAACAATAACAAAAAGTAAGTTTGAAAAATAAAACATTCCTTTGTAAACTAGTGCTACTTTTGGTCTAATACTCTGATTATAAACAAAAGCCAGGCATAATAATTTATATAAAAAATGAGGATAGATCACCCATTCTAATCTTGACAGAAAATTTTCTTGCTATCTTCTTACCTGTGCAGTTATAGTAACATCAGTGCTTAAATAATGAAGATTAAAATACTCTTTCTTCTCTCTAAATTGTAAAATCACAGTTAAACTACTGTTTCCATACAGTAAAATATTTACACTAAGCATTAAGTCAGTAGCATGTTCTATTTCTAACTGAATTCCTTTATTGTATATGTTATCTGTAGAAAATTCCATAACATTACTATCTTTTGGTAATCTAGAAATAGTACAGCCAACTGGTACAATCCAGTTTCCAATATATTGGTCACTGTCTTCAATTATAAGCTGCCTGGGTTCAGGTTCAGTTATATTTTTGCTATAGTGTGATAGTCCAAATTGAGCAATCTGGGTTGGGTAAAAGTAACCCTGACTCTCCCATTGGGTTGAAAGTGGTACACCTTCTATTGCACTAATGCATTTAACTCTCTCTCTAACTTCTACATTATAATTTTCAAAGTGCATGAAAACACTTCTTGGGTTATACTTGTGCTTAGGATGATACACTTTGCCATAACTATGAGTCCATTCAAACCTTACCAATCCATCAAAGGTATTAAGTTTTCCATATATTTCAAAATATTTATGTATAAAAGAAAAAGGTACATAAACCTCTTCACCTTCTTTTAAACATGTTATGGTGTAATCCCCATTATTTATATTACAATCAATCTCTTCAGGTATCACTGAGTTTTCATCATTTATCTCATTATAAATAGGATACCTTTGATTTTTGTTAACTTCTTTAACACCTGCATAGTTAGCACAATGATTCCAAATGGACAATGTAACTAATAATACGGTAATGCAAGCAACTAATAGCGCTACTTTTAAATTTAATCTCATTATAAAGAAAAATAAAGGCGAGCTCTGCAAATAAGAGCAAGTGATTAAGATCAAAGTTTAAAAAAGTATCAAAATTAGCACTTACCCTTGCCTGTTGGTTATTGTGACCCACAAGGGGTAACTGGTGGATTTTACCAAACAAATTGACTGGACCAACCATTAGTTACATTTTATTAACTTTAGGTTGGGGCTAATATGGTACTAGTCGAGTTTAATTTTTCTGACTTACCATTTTTTATATTAAACACATATTTATTCATTTCAAATTAATCAAAATTAAATCTAAAAAAACACATGTTATGTTTCTTGAACCAATTAATAAATAATTTCTTAGTCTTAATGCAAATTATTGAACGATGTGATACATTGTATTCGTTTTTTGTTAGCTTATTGAAAAATATTTATAAAATCTGACAGCTGTTAAAGTTAGTGTTTATTTTTGCTTGATTGTGTGTATATGGCAGTCAATCGGTTTTGTTCTTGGTTTCGCTGTAATTTATTAATAATACAAATTTTTCTCTTAAAATTTTAAGAACTGGTATGAAAGAATGACTTTAAATATCATAATTAAACTGTTTAAAGTATTATATATTGAAACAGTTGGTTACGAATATCATCTGAAAGTTTTAAATTTCTATTTAATTAAGTTTAAACAACACATCTACAGCAACCACAACTATACCCTTTGTATATCTATTATCTATGACTATAACCTATTGTGAATTGTACCGATTGCAATCTATACTAACTCTTTTTTAAATTAATTATAAACTTAATTTAATTAAACTTGTTCCAGTTGTAGTTATTTATGAGAAGGCAATGTTTATATCTTCTTTTCAGAAATCCAGTTGCTCTACATGAATTCTTTGAAGTATGCCACTGTAAAAAATACAAGTATCAAATAGTTAGCTTTACTACTACCTTATATTGAATGGAATCAGGATATTTTTTCTTCGATATGAACAATAAAAATAGAAACTTAACGAGAGAAGTTGCTGAAAATTGTTGTCGAACATGTTTAGAACAGAAAGATTTAAAACCAATTTTTGCTATAAATTATGAACGAAAACCAGTTGCAGATCTATTATTTTATTGTATAGCTTTGAAGGTATGCTAATTCAAGATATATGCCTTTCCGTTTTTCAAAATAAATAATTTTGTAGGTTGAAGAAAACTATAAATTACCTGATAAAATATGTTCTTCCTGTTTTGGAGAATTAATAAGAATTTTTGCTTTTAAGCAAAAATCTCATGCAACAACTAAAATTTTAGAAAATTGTTTAAACAAATTTGAAGCAGAAAAAATTAGTAAACAAGAAAAATTAGACAAAGAAACAAAAGCAGGTGATTCAGAAGAAATTTTGATAGAACCGCAATTGAGGAAAACAAATAAATTAGATAATAATTTTTCATATTCTACAAATGAATCAAAATCCCTTATTGATTTATCAGAGGTACATGAATTGTTTCATATTATTTAAAAAGGTTGTTCTGGTTGTGAAATAATGCTTCATTTATAATATGCTGTTATTTTTTAATATTAAAAAAGTGTATCTAATTGTAAAAAAAATATTTAAACTTTACAATATTTATTATCTTATATAGTGCCCCTTTACCACTATTGGTAAAATATCTGTATTATGGCTCTTTTGAAAACTAACTTTTAGCATGAATATAAGAATCATTTTTTGTTGATTATTTAAATTTAACACTATTAATGCAATTTTTATTTAGTTTCAGCTTCACTTTAAGAAGTCGGTTAAATCTAGATCATTAACGTGTAAAGTTTGTACTATGGAGTTTGGAGATAGTAATAGCTTAAAAACTCATAAAAAAGAAATGAAACATGTAGATGTGAAAAATCATACATGTCTTGTTTGCAATAAAACATTTACTAAAAGTAAACTGAAGCAACATATGAGAATTCACACAAAAGAAAAACCATATCAATGTAAAAAGTGTTTTAAAAGATTTTCAATGGTATGGAACTTAAACAGGCATATGATGGGACACACAGGGGAAAAGCCTTTTATATGTGATATTTGTGGAAAAGGTGCACAACATTTTATTTATTTAATATTTTACTTTGTTACTTGTTACATTATAGGTTTTATTCAAGCAATAACACTTGTAGAGCATAAAAGAACTCACACTGGAGATGCTCCCTATGTATGCAGTTATTGTGGAAAAAGATTTATACGTTCGTCTCGTCATAAAGCTCATTTAAAGGTGCACCTTCTGGAAAGACAAAAGCACCTCAATGGAGGAGATAATAATCCGAGCGATAGTTTTCACGAAGAAAATAGATGTCCAACTTGTAGTAGACTTTATGCAAGTAAAGGAACATTGAGAATGCATATGTTGAGACATGGAGAAAAGACACTGTTATGCAGTGACTGTGGAAAGAAATTTTATACAAAAAACAATTTAATATCCCATAGTAAAGTCCACAAAGGAGAAAAATTATATGTGTGTAAAGAATGCAATAAGACATTTACGTTTTCAAGTAAGAAAATTATTAAAAAAGTATCATTATTCAATAACAAAGTTAATTTTTATTTATAAGTACACATATGGATTGTCTAATTTTAAAAATATTGATTTTAATAGGTGCCCTGAAGACACACATGCTAGTACATACCTCTCAAAAGCCTTATACTTGTAAAATATGCTCAAAATCATTTAAACAACACCATCACTTAAAATACCATTTGAGAGTACACAGCGGGGAAAAACCGTATAGCTGTACTTGTTGCGGTAAAACTTTTGCTTTGAATACAAATTTAACCGTTCATTTACGAACACACACTGGGGAGACACCCTATGTTTGTAGCGTTTGCGACATCGGTTATAATCGTTTGAACAATATGAAGGTACATCAAGCAACACATAAACACGAACAACGGACTGTGGACGATTTCCTTAAAGTTAATACAGCTCCCAAGGATTTTGCTACATGAATTGTTGGTTTTATGAATTATATTTATGCTATTTAAGTCACCCAGTTCAGCAAATATTGTCTGGTTTTCTTGTATTTCTCAAATGTTTTGAAATGAAGTTAATGAATAAGAAATGGACAACAATACATTTTTAATGAAATGAATTACACTTCAGATTTAAATGAACATAATAAATATACAAAAGTAAGTCAAAAGGTAAAAAAAGTTTCATTATTAGCGACCTAGACATCTTAATAATTTAACTAACACTGACTAGTAAATTCTGCAAATATTGATTGCTAGAACAATAATAATGGAAGCCTTTATTTATCAATTTGCTTATTAATTGTTTTTTTAATTAGTACTTACAGGCATTTATGTACTTAACGATATTAAAAATTTTAGGTTTTATGTAATTAGAAAATTTCGTTTTGTGCGTTTTTATATAGTTCATACGAAATATTATGCGTTAAAAAGTTATTATTAGTTTCTTAGTTTGCTATTAAAAAAGTATTTCTGTGAATTCACTTGTTAAAATAGACCGTCGATTNTAACAGATCAGATTACGTGGCAGGTTTAGACTTGAACTCATTTTTTAAACAAAGTTATAAAAATAAGCAGAAGAGGTAGTGTCATGTCGTTGTCTTTCGTTTGCATAATTTGGCTTGCATTTCCCGAAGTAAATTGTCAAATGATTCTTCACTTTTACGCACAGGTGCGTAACCTATTTCTTCACGAATATCATCTGAAAGTTTTAAATTTCTATTTAATAAAAATTGCATTTACAAAATTTCTCATTATTTAATGAACTTTTGATTAACAATTATTAATTGTAATATATGTTCCGTAGGCATGTTTTTGTAAAAATTCCGTTTTTGCACTTTACGTTTAAAGCAATTAGTAATATAAAATATATAAATCTACTTAAAACTCACCCAAGTCTGAATATCGAGTCCTGCAGAATATGCGTCGACCCCCAAAGCTTAAATCGTATTGCGGTAATGTGGGGTCATCATTTCCATGCTCGACGGCTTCATAAGCGTCTACATTGTACATAAATGTGACAAAACCATAATTATCGCTAAATTGGACAACAGACAAATGTCACAGTATTGTATTAATACGTAAAATATTAATAACTAACCCATAATCCCGAAAATGAATACTAATGTTCGTGATAGGACCGAACTTTTGAAAACGACGACGTAGGTCTTCGCGACTTGTTCTTGAGCTTATTCCACCGACATAGACTATTCGGCGTTCTTCCACGGCACGTAGATGTTCTTTGCTGATGCTTTTTTGTCTTTTTCTTACTGGTATTCTTTGAGGTGATATAGATCGAGATCTAAAATTGCATTCATTACATTTTTATTAAATTACAAAACCTACTGATTAGTACGAGTAACCATTACAATATTAGACATAAAAAAAAAATTCTTACCTAGAGGTTGATGTAGATGTGTTACTATATCTAGAATCAAGCGAACTGCTTCTGGAAGAACGACTGGTGCTTTGTTCTTGATTTTTTTCTTTTTCGTCCCTTTCACGCCTCTTGTTTTTTGAATCTTTTTCACTAGTATTTGTAGGAGAATTCTCGAACTTTACATCCATCCAATCTTCGGAAAAGTCAGTCTGTATTCCAAGGGTGCGGGTTTTTACAACATCTCTCTTTTTTGGTCGGTATATTATTGTTCTGTCTTCACCATGAACGATTTCGTTTTTAGATGTTTGTTCTTCAGAAACCACAGTTTTAGTCTTAACTTTATTCTGGATGTTTTCTATTACTGAGGAGATCAAAGAGTTGGAACTGATTTTTCCATTTGCATTTTCGAGAATTGGTTTTATTTCTTCCAATTGTTTAATTGGAGACACGCTTATATGTTTATTTTTTCTAAGTGGAATCTAAAAAAAATGCAATTAAGTATCTGAACTCAAAGAAATGTTTTACTTTCAAATAAAAAACAATTTAATATATTAAGTTCATAGTTTATAGTGTAATATTAAAACTTTTTACTTTTATGAAATCAGTATTAACTCCAATACTGACAATAGTTTTTGTTATAAGTTCCTTTGGTATAACAAGCTCAGGAATTACTTGTTTTAATTTTTCATCATTATTAATATTTTCTTCAGTAACCATTTTATTGCAATCTGAGTCTTTCATTTTTTCTTTATTTTGACTTTTCACTTTATCACATTTTTCAGTCTGATTTTGTGAGATTACAGCTGGTGTCAGAACCTTTGTGTTAACATCAGTTGTTGTTGGCAAATTACTATTTTCTAGTTTCTTTGATTTTGGAGAAGATTTGAGTAGTTCTGCTGCCATTTGTAACAGTTTTTCTTGGTGTTTGAGCCTGCGAACATTTTCATCTTCTATTGCGGGAGAGCACTGCCCACTACTTAAAGGGGAGCTGTTTTGGGAGTTTTCATATGATTTCAGTAGACCTTCTCTTCGTTTTTTGTATTCTTCTAAGTTTAATTTTCGCTTTTTCTCTGTTGATTTATTTGTAATGTTTTTGATTGTATTAACCTTTAAGAGAGATATCATTAATTTTCCATCTGCTCTTTTGACGGTTGGTTGATTTTTCAAAATACTGCGTTGCTCATCTTCTTCAGCAGATTCAAAACCGGAATCTTTCTTCTGGCACTTTAAAATGTTTATATTCATAAGTTCATTGTATTTTATTAAACAACAAAAAATAAAGAAACACATACAGTTTACTTCTAAATTAATAAAAAGATACTTACTTTATTGTGAATTGATTTAGAGCCACAATAATCATGATCCAGGTGAATCCATTGTGTAACAATACTACTACTGTCCTTGTTTTCAATTGAAATATTTGTATTATCTTTTTTATTTACAGATTTTTCGACATTTTTCTTCTCTTTCTGAGTGGTATTGTTTTCTTCATTTTTTTTTGCTTTCACACGTTTAGTGTTTGGTAATACATCTAAGACAGCAATAGATCTTCGCTTGTTTGCAGCTTTTATCTTATTAATAAGTTCTGTGGGTAATACATCGGTACTTTTTTTAATTTCCTTTAATGATTTTGTATGTGCATGTACATTTTCTGTTGGTGGTTTTTCTGCATCTTGGAATTGTTGTCCTGCAATAAATAAAATAGAAAATATAAAAGTTATGAATATAATAGCAAACCATTCTTCTCTAATTCTGTGGGAGTATTTTCAATGTTAGCTTCTATCTTGATATTTTTAACACTGTTTATTTCCACAGGTAACTTATTCGGTGTATTAAAAATTTTAAGGTTTGTTTGTGAAGTAGATATATGATCAGAGGTATCTTCTTTTTTTATGTTTCCTTCAACCACAACTTGATCTATTTTAGCTTCAAATAGTTCTAAAAGACTACTAGCATCCTGTGTTCGTATGATGGAAGGCTTAATATCAATGATGCTATCTATATCAACTTGAAAATCCCCTTCAACATCAATATTTTCACTCTCAGAATCTACTTCCTCTTTTACTTTGTCAACCTCATAACACTGTGTGTCAGGTTTTTTACCTCCATGTTGTACTTTACTTTGTTCTTCGATAGCATTTTCTGTAAGGTCAGTCAAATCAAATAATGAAGAACCTGATGATTTCAAACTAAATGGTTCCGATAGGTTAAACTGATCATTTGAAGTCATATCAATATCCATAGATAAACTTTTTATATCTTCGTTCTGGGAAAATATTTAAGAATTTGTTAATGTATTATTATCAGTATATTGTTCAAACAAATGTGAAGCAGTACCTCAAAATTGATTAACTGTTGCCAGTCATTCATAATTTTTTGATAATCTTCTTTAACTGGAGGTGAATTACTTTCTACTGCACTTTCTCTAAAACTTGAGGTAGGTATAACAGCAACATCCCCATTTATTCTAAAATTAACATTTAATTGAATAACAATATCTTAAGTTGAATATGTTACTTACTCTTCTTCTTTTTCCCAATCCCAAATATTATTTTCTGTGTACTTTACCAAGACGTCTTCAGCACTCTGAGAATCATCTTCTGACAAGCTCTAATTATTCATAAAAAATGCTATAGAAACACTCTTCAATGTTATACTAATACACTTACCATAAACGATTCAAAGGTATTAAAATGTTCTTCATATCTAAATCTCAAAGAATCCATGTTTATGTTCATGCTTCTTTAAGGTTAAGAGGTACTTTTTCTCTTAAATATTGATTAAATAATACTAACAATGAATCGTTATCGCAAATAGTCAATTATTTATGCCTAAAACAATAAAAGTTTTACTGCTGGTTTTATAATTGTAACTAACAAATACGAAAAAAAGGTTATAAAGCGCGGCAAGTGTCGTTCGTCAGATTCTTAAAAAAGTATAAGGATGTATAAAACGAACATACATGCTTCATGTTATGCAGTGAGCTACTTTAAGGATAATGGTATTTTTTACACAATTAAAGCACCAATGTTTAGAAAAATCTGTTTTTAAACAAGCATGATTCACCGTGGCATGTGGTTGATTACAATCAATTACTGTGTTGGGTGCATAGACAAGTTGGGTGACAGTTGGTTGATCTGTTGATTACCATGTTGACTAAACTGCAACAATTATACTTCTCTGAAGTTCGTTAGCATGTTCTAAAGGCGGGTTCACACAAATATAAATGGTCACAATTTTAGTAACTGCCGATAGATGTAGCAATCCGTTTACACTGTTCTACGAACAAGGACAAGACATTCTATCAGTATCTTTATACAATTAATTTAACCAATTAGTTGGTAAATTGAGTACATTCTTCGAATATTTCAATTTAAACTATTCTTATTTCTTTTTCTGGGAAACGTAAAAAAATATGTTAACGTTTGGTGTAATAAAGGAAAAAATCTTAAATATAAGTAATAATAAGTTATTGCTAGTATTCGCTGTTGTCTGGTTCATTTACCGCCTGCCCATTCCAGTGTTTTCATTATTTTTTTCTTCGCCATTATAATACCTTTAGAGACTTTGCGATGACGGAAGAAGGAAAAAGATGGTATGATGATTATTTGATACCTGCGTTTCATAAGAGGTAGCGTTATGATGCTGTTCAATTTTCCAACGAAATTTATTCCGTTCTTCCATATCCAGTTGTTAAGAAAATCAATCAAAGATAAAGCAGATTTTAAATTATAGAGTCAAAATAACTAAATATTAGATGTGAGACAATTTTGAAAATAAGTTGATTTATTAATTTTGAATTGTCGTTATCCTTATATTACGTATTAAAGCTCTGCTGTGGTGTCGCTCGATAAATTTATGTGTAACAAGAAGGTATTTAGCGCAAGATCTAGTTCGAAGTAGCACACGGTGTCGCAACGATTTATTTTGCTAACAATAAATTGAGTATAAACTTAACAGACCTTAGTTAGACTAATTATTAAATTCATTCTTACATGTGCATTAATTTTCACTTGGATGAGTGCTACGTAACGATTTCGTAATAACAAAATATGTAACGCGTTTCTCTTTACGTTTTTGAAAGGAAATGGCGCGAATTTTACTTTTTCTATTCATTTTTAATAGGTTGTAAACATTTCGTGAATTTGCGTTTTAAACAAATTGTATAAGACCATACCTACCATAAAATACAATGAAATTAAATTACTTGATTAAATTGTTTTGAGTATTTTAAACTTTTTGTTTTGTGCTTTATCATTAGCGTAACTTAAATGTTATACATTTACAACGTGAATTACGTATAATATGAATCATATGTAAAATAAAACTTTCTATTATTATGAATATAGACTTTGAAGGTAAAGAAGAGATAATATTATTGCTACATCGTATTAAATAAGTAATTATTTTGAAGTACAAGCGATTAAAAGATATAAAATAGCCATTCTTCATTATAAGAAATAGAAAAAAAATATTTCTTTAAGTTTAATTTAATTCAAGTCGTTTTATGGCAGTAAAAAGTATCTGTAAATTTTGAGTTGTGAAGTTTTAAAAGCCCGAGTAACTAGAATTAAGTATAACTATCGATGATCTTTTTATCACTTGCGGGATTATAACACAATGAATAGATATAATTTGTATATCCTGTCGTAATTGACCTTAGCGGGTTGTTTTCTTGTGGTAAATAACGTTGAACAGGTTGACCTGCTTTAGTACATCGATTTGTGGCTCGTCACTAAAATGGTTTTAGGTATGAATGACAAAGAAAATTGGTGAAACCAATTTTAATGTGATTATACATAGGTATGTAACCATTAATTCATTAAAATGGTAAATGGTACTTCTAATATGTTTACTAAGCTTTCAATTGATGAATATTAAAGGATAGTTTTTACAACCATACGGAAAAAAAGCGTCTCTACAATAAGTTGCGTATGCGTCTGTTGGCGTCTTCAACCGAGTCGACGCGACAAACGCGAGACGCGACTACGTGGGCCCCACTCTTGAATTATTATTGAGTTACCGCCTTGCAATTTCGATTCAAACATTGGTAAATTCGGTAAGATTCCGTGTAGATGTACAACTTTTGATACCGATCGAAGTTTATGAAAAGTTTTGTGAAACGGGTTTCTGGTTTGTGAAAATAGTGAACATTCCCTTGGATTTTACCACATAATTTAAATAGTAAGTGTGCTCTTTATCTAGATGTGAATGTTTAAATTTTTTTTTTTAATATTGTTAGGTGCACTTTTTTATTTTTCTTCCCTGTTACTTTGTTTAAATCTCTGTAATACATTGTCAATTTATTTTTGTTTCTGAAATACATAGAATTCAATTCAGAAAAATGAATAAAATAAAACGCAATAGTAAAGTTTACAATTGAACTGTTACTGAATGTTTTATGTTTAATTGTTTTTTTAATTAGTACTTACAGGCATTTATGTACTTAACGATATTAAAAATTTTAGGTTTTATGTAATTAGAAAATTTCGTTTTGTGCGTTTTTATATAGTTCATACGAAATATTATGCGTTAAAAAGTTATTATTAGTTTCTTAGTTTGCTATTAAAAAAGTATTTCTGTGAATTCACTTGTTAAAATAGACCGTCTAACA